GTGTCTGTGTATACCCTGTCTCCTGGGTGTCTGTCTCCTGGAGTCTGTGTATACCCCTGTCTCCTGGAGTCTGTGTATACCCCTGTCTCCTGGACTCTGTGTATACCCCTGTCTCCTGGACTCTGTGTATACCCCTGTCTCCTGGACTCTGTGTATACCCCTGTCTCCTGGAGTCTGTGTATACCCCTGTCTCCTGGACTCTGTGTATACCCCCTGTCTCCTGGGACTCTGTGTATACCCCTGTCTCCTGGGTCTGTGTATACCCCTGTCTCCTGGAGTCTGTGTATACCCCTGTCTCCTGGAGTCTGTGTATACCCCTGTCTCCTGGAGTCTGTGTATACCCCTGTCTCCTGGAGTCTGTGTATACCCTGTCTCCTGGAGTCTGTGTATACCCCTGTCTCCTGGAGTCTGTGTATACCCCTGTCTCCTGGACTCTGTGTATACCCCTGTCTCCTGGACTCTGTGTATACCCCCTGTCTCCTGGAGTCTGTGTATACCCCTGTCTCCTGGTGTCTGTGTATACCCCTGTCTCCCTGGACTCTGTGTATACCCCTGTCTCCTGGAGTCTGTGTATACCCCTGTCTCCTGGAGTCTGTGTATACTCCTGGAGTCTGTGTATACCCCTGTCTCCTGGACTCTCTGTGTACCCCCCTGTCTCCTGGAGTCTGTGTATACCCCTGTCTCCTGGAGTCTGTGTATACCCCTGTCTCCTGGAGTCTGTGTATACCCTGTCTCCTGGAGTCTGTGTATACCCCTGTCTCCTGGAGTCTGTGTATACCCCTGTGTCTCCTGGGACTGTGTATACCCCTGTCTCCTGGAGTCTGTGTATACCCCTGTCTCCTGGAGTCTGTGTATACCCCTGTCTCCTGGACTCTGTGTATACCCCTGTCTCCCTGGAGTCTGTGTATACCCCTGTCTCCTGGGTCTGTCTGTGTATACCCCTGTCTCCTGGAGTCTGTGTATACCCCTGTCTCCTGGAGTCTGTGTATACCCCTGTCTCCTGGAGTCTGTGTATACCCCCTGTCTCCTGGAGTCTGTGTATACCCCTGTCTCCTGGAGTCTGTGTATACCCCTGTCTCCTGGGTCTGTGTATACCCCTGTCTCCTGGAGTCTGTGTATACCCCTGTCTCCTGGAGTCTGTGTATACCCCTGTCTCCTGGAGTCTGTGTCTCCTGGAGTCTGTGTATACCCCTGTCTCCTGACTCTGTGTATACCCCCTGTCTCCTGGACTCTGTGTATACCCCTGTCTCCTGGAGTCTGTGTATACCCCTGTCTCCTGGAGTCTGTGTATACCCCTGTCTCCTGGATACTCTGTGTATACCCTGTCTCCTGGAGTCTGTGTATACCCCTGTCTCCTGGAGTCTGTGTATACCCCTGTCTCCTGGAGTCTGTGTATACCCCTGTCTCCTGGACTCTGTGTATACCCCTGTCTCCTGTCTGTGTATACCCCCTGTCTCCTGGAGTCTGTGTATACCCCTGTCTCCTGGAGTCTGTGTATACCCCTGTCTCCTGGAGTCTGTGTATACCCCTGTCTCCTGGAGTCTGTGTATACCCCTGTCTCCTGGAGTCTGTGTATACCCCTGTCTCCTGGAGTCTGTGTATACCCCTGTCTCCTGGAGTCTGTGTATACCCCCTGTCTCCTGGAGTCTGTGTATACTCTCCTGGAGTCTCTGTATATACCCCTGTCTCCTGGACTCTGTGTATACCCCTGTCTCCTGGAGTCTGTGTATACCCCTGTCTCCTGGAGTCTGTGTATACCCCTGTCTCCTGGAGTCTGTGTATACCCCTGTCTCCTGGAGTCTGTGTATACCCCTGTCTCCTGGACTGTGTATACCCCTGTCTCCTGGAGTCTGTGTATACCCCCTGTCTCCTCCTGGAGTCTGTGTATACCCCTGTCTCCTGGAGTCTGTGTATACCCCTGTCTCCTGGACTCTGTGTATACCCCTGTCTCCTGGAGTCTGTGTATACCCCTGTCTCCTGGAGTCTGTGTATACCCCTGTCTCCTGGAGTCTGTGTATACCCCTGTCTCCTGGAGTCTGTGTATACCCCTGTCTCCTGGAGTCTGTGTATACCCCTGTCTCCTGGACTCTGTGTATACCCCCTGTCTCCTGGAGTCTGTGTATACCCCTGTCTCCTGGAGTCTGTGTATACCCCTGTCTCCTGGAGTCTGTGTATACCCCTGTCTCCTGGACTCTGTGTATACCCCTGTCTCCTGGGTGTCTGTGTATACCCCTGTCTCCTGGAGTCTGTGTATACCCCTGTCTCCTGGAGTCTGTGTATACCCCTGTCTCCTGGATGTCTGTGTATACCCTGTCTCCTGGAGTCTGTGTATACCCCTGTCTCCTGGAGTCTGTGTATACCCCTGTCTCCTGGAGTCTGTGTATACCCCTGTCTCCTGTCTCCCCTGGACTCTGTGTATGTATACCCCTGTCTCCTGGAGTCTGTGTATACCCCCTGTCTCCTGGAGTCTGTGTATACCCCTGTCTCCTGGAGTCTGTGTATACCCCTGTCTCTCTGGACTGCCTGTGTATACCCCTGTCTCCTGGAGTCTGTGTATACCCCTGTCTCCTGGATGTCTGTGTATACCCTGTCTCCTGGACTCTGTGTATACCCCTGTCTCCTGGAGTGTGTGTGTGTCTCCCCTGTCTGTTGTCTCCTGGTGTCTGTGTATACCCCTGTCTCCTGGAGTCTGTGTATACCCCTGTCTCCTGGAGTCTGTGTATACCCCTGTCTCCTGGAGTCTGTGTATACCCCTGTCTCCTGGAGTCTGTGTATACCCCTGTCTCCTGGAGTCTGTGTATACCCCTGTCTCCTGGAGTCTGTGTATACCCCTGTCTCCTGGAGTCTGTGTATACCCCTGTCTCCTGGAGTCTGTGTATACCCCTGTCTCCTGGAGTCTGTGTATACCCCTGTCTCCTGGAGTCTGTGTATACCCCTGTCTCCCCTGGACTCCTGAGTCTGTGTATACCCCTGTCTCCTGGAGTCTGTGTATACCCCTGTCTCCTGGATGTCTGTGTATACCCCTGTCTCCTGGAGTCTGTGTATACTGTGTATACCCCTGTCTCCTGTGTATACCCCTGTCTCCTGGTGTCTGTGTATACCCCTGTCTCCTGGAGTCTGTGTATACCCCTGTCTCCTGGACTCTGTGTATACCCCTGTCTCCTGGTGTCTGTGTGTATACCCCTGTCTCCTGATGTCTGTGTATACCCCTGTCTCCTGGAGTCTGTGTATACCCCTGTCTCCTGGAGTCTGTGTATACCCCTGTCTCCTGGAGTCTGTGTATACCCCTGTCTCCTGGAGTCTGTGTATACCCCTGTCTCCTGGAGTCTGTGTATACCCCTGTCTCCTGGAGTCTGTGTATACCCCTGTCTCCTGGAGTCTGTGTATACCCCTGTCTCCTGGAGTCTGTGTATACCCCTGTCTCCTGGAGTCTGTGTATACCCCCTGTCTCCTGGACTCTGTGTATACCCCCTGTCTCCTGGAGTCTGTGTATACCCCTGTGTGTGTATACCCCTGTCTCCTGGAGTCTGTGTATACCCCTGTCTCCTGGAGTCTGTGTATACCCCTGTCTCCTGGAGTCTGTGTATACCCCTGTCTCCTGGAGTCTGTGTATACCCCTGTCTCCTGGAGTCTGTATATACCCCTGTCTCCTGGTGTCTGTGTATACCCCTGTCTCCTGGAATCTGTGTATACCCTGTCTCCTGATGTCTGTGTATACCCCTGTCTCCTGGAGTCTGTGTATACCCCTGTCTCCTGGAGTCTGTGTATACCCCTGTCTCCTGGAGTCTGTGTATACCCCTGTCTCCTGGACTCTGTGTATACCCCTGTCTCCTGGAGTCTGTGTATACCCCTGTCTCCTGGAGTCTGTGTATATACCCCTGTCTCCTGTATACCCCTGTCTCCTGTCTGTGTATACCCCTGTCTCCTGGACTCTGTGTATACCCCTGTCTCCTGGACTCTGTGTATACCCCCTGTCTCCTGGACTCTGTGTATACCCCTGTCTCCTGGAGTCTGTGTATACTGTCTCCTGGAGTCTGTATATACCCTGTCTCCTGGAGTCTGTATGTACCCCTGTCTCCTGATCTGTGTATACCCCTGTCTCCTGGAGTCTGTACCCCTGTCTCCTGGAGTCTGTGTATACCCCTGTCTCCTGGAGTCTGTGTATACCCCTGTCTCCTGGACTCTGTGTATACCCCTGTCTCCTGGAGTCTGTGTATACCCCTGTCTCCTGGAGTCTGTGTATACCCCTGTCTCCTGGAGTCTGTGTATACCCCCTGTCTCCTGGAGTCTGTGATACCCCTGTCTCCTGGAGTCTGTGTATACCCCTGTCTCCTGGAGTCTGTGTATACCCCTGTCTCCTGGAGTCTGTGTATACCCCTGTCTCCTGGAGTCTGTGTATACCCCTGTCTCCTGGTGTCTGTGTATACCCCTGTCTCCTGGAGTCTGTGTATACCCCTGTCTCCTGGAGTCTGTGTATACCCCTGTCTCCTGGAGTCTGTGTATACCCCTGTCTCCTGGAGTCTGTGTATACCCCCCTGTCTCCTGGAGTCTGTGTATACCCCTGTCTCCTGGAGTCTGTGTATACCCCTGTCTCCTGGAGTCTGTGTATACCCCTGTCTCCTGGAGTCTGTGTATACCCTGTCTCCTGGAGTCTGTGTATACCCCCTGTCTCCTGGAGTCTGTGTATACCCCTGTCTCCTGGAGTCTGTGTATACCCCTGTCTCCCCTGTCTCCTGGAGTCTGTGTATACCCCTGTCTCCTGGACTCTGTGTATACCCCTGTCTCCTGGAGTCTGTGTATACCCCTGTCTCCTGGAGTCTGTGTATACCCCTGTCTCCCTGGAGTCTCTCCTGTGTGTCTCCTGGAGTCTGTGTATACCCCTGTCTCCTGGAGTCTGTGTATACCCCCTGTCTCCTGATACCCTGCTCTGTGTATACTCCCCCTCCTGGAGTCTGTATATACCTCCTGGAGTCCATGTGTATATCCCCTGTCTCCTGGAGTCTTGACCCGGACCTGTCTCCTACCAGGAGGAAGTGTATACCCATTGAAGGGACAGGACTCTACAGATGTCACCTCCTTCATCGTATACCATGTTCTTGGAGGTAGTGTATACCACCACATAAAATACGTGTATCACCCCTGTCTCCTGGACGACAGTAGAAAACCCCTATGTACTTGAGAAGGTACACCTACAGAATACCGGATACATACCAGCCATATTGTTTAGTGTCACGTCACCCTAACCCTAACCCTTACCTTAACCCTAAACATTACCCTAACCCTAACCCTAAGTAACCCTCGCGTGCTTTCAAAGATGGCCGAAGGTATCCGGTATTCTGTAGTCTTACCACATGACAATCTATAATATGTATGCTTTTATCTGTGCACTATATATAAAATGGTATTTTGTGTTTGTTTCATGTCTCTGTTAACTTTCAACATTCACAAAGTAAAAAAAATGAATATTTCTATGTTGTTATGTTAATGTGTCTTGCAGGATCACCGATCAAGGAGAAGTGTCGCCTTCTTCCTTCTCGAAGCAACATCCTCGACGACCTGTTCTCCCGCCTCAGCGCCATCAACAACACCCTCACAAACACAGGTATGTGATCTGTTAATCTGTCAAAGACATAAAAACAAGTATAAAAAATGCACGAAGCAAGAAAGACAAATTTCAGAACATTCAGACGTGGAAATCCTAATTATATCCAAAATCCTCGCTCTTTTCCATAAAACATAAGGACAAGGCAGTCTTCGCGGTATATCTGAGTACTCGAACTTCTCTTCTTTGTAGAGCTGAGTGCACTGCTGGCCCAGCTGAAGCTCACCGGTACCAAGCAGGAAGATGACCACACTGGACACGACCACAGAAGGAGGAGGAGTGTCGACATCGTTCCACGTGTGAAGCGACAGACGCACGACGGTCACAACCACGGCGCCGTCACGGTATGTGGAAACATCTTCAGACGCTGGATAAATCAAACATGAACATTTGTTGATTTCAGTCTATTATTCACATAATATCCAAGAATCAGTTAAGGTCACGAAATACGTTATAGTGATGAAATACGTTGTGATAGTGAGATGGTTTACAAGTGAACCATTAAACGTTTATGATCATGCATGTTATTAACTGGATTTACATTGCCATGTGTTACCTTGCCATGTGTTTCCTTGCCATGTGTTACCAGGTCCCTAAAGAGTGCTACTCTGTCGGTGAGATCAAGGCCATCCATGGTCTGGGTCATGATGATGGCATCACTAAGACCAAGTTTGTGGAGATGTCTCCTACCCTGGTATACATGCAGGTGGCAGGGTCGTGTGTCCCCACCACCAACACCACAACGTCACTCACTCCAACCATGGCAGAACGTAAGTCCCCATACCCCTCACCACATAACCAGCCACGCCCTTCTTGCAGGGCAAAGGGTTTCCATGATTGTGCACACAAACTCCCTAACCATAAACACCCCATAACAGACCGTCAGTCAAGGTCCCTACCCTAGTGTCACACAGCACACACCCCTCCACGTAGAACATGTTTCCATCTTGGTCTCCGTGCATATCTGTGACTAGACAAGTAACGCTTCGTGGTTATATCAATGACCCGACTCGTGGACGTTCTTGACAGCAGCCTGTTCTACGTATACTTATCACACCACGTACAGGCATAGATATGGAAATAGTTGCTGTAAATATACTTTGTTGTCGCAGAATATTGTTCTGTTCACATTTTTTATAATTTTAAGCATTGGTCTTATCTTCTATTTATTCATCAGTATACATTGTTTTCACATTTTTACGGAAGAACTTAAGGATAAAAAATGTGTGATTCAAAACCCTTCCTGTTACCCCTGTTTCAGGGTACGGATACGGATCCCTGGCAACGCTGATCATCTGTCTGTGCGCTGTACTGGGCGCTATCGTTTTCCCCTTCCCCAAGGGCCTCTGCTACTCGGCGTTCATGGCCGTCTTCCTGGGGCTTGCTGTCGGCACACTTTTCACAGACGCTATCTTGCATCTTATACCTCAGGTCAGTAGTGCAGATGGGTACCCGGTAGCAGGACTTTCCTAATCATTATCAACATCTCAGATCGTCGTACTGGATAGGCATGGGTTGCAGGAAACTAATTCTAAATCCTTTACTATTCTTTAATCCTTACTAATTATAATCCTTAAATCAGCGACGCTTGTCCGCAAATACGACCACTACCCATCCGGGAACCAGTATCGCGACCATTGCCAGTCACTCTGTGGTTATGTCATTGCAGGCACTCGGTCTTCACAACCATGGAGAAGGCGAAGACGCGCATGCGCACGCCGAGACATCCGGTCCAGTGATAGAGGAATACACGTGGTATGCAGTAGTTATAGCTGCAGGTGAGAAAAGATGCTAACTTGTCAATACTAAGTCAAGGATCACCGGAGTCATGAAATGTATCCCTGCCAAAGAACTAAATACCACCATAGAAGATATGATAATGGTCAAGGTTACACCCGCAACGATTTCACCTCACCTCACCGGAACTGACTACTAGTATATATCAATATTTCTTAAACACATGTTAACGAAACGCATGTATAGTTATTCTGCCTTTGAAATTCCTAATCCATAAGAACGACAACAATATAAGTGGAGGCAGGAGCTAGGACCACGAACGACATATTTGTTCCGTGAACGCTACTCACAGCGGACATTCATCTCTGTCGTTCCAGGTACATACGGGTTCTACTTGATTGAGGCTGTGATGACGATCCTCAGCTCGGGGCGTGGTGTAAGTAGCTTTTCATATCCAGGTAGCGTGACCCAATTCCTTAAAGAGATAGAGCGTAGAACACAGTCATTCAATATATATTTGAAAACAAACACAGTATGATCTACTTCAGCTGTGTTTTCGCTCATTGGACCTCGCAAAAAACACGTTGTGAACGCCTCGTTACCTAGTGACGCCTGTATAAACCAGTCAGTAAAGGTCTGATCCTCGTTACCTAGTGACGCCTGTATATACCAGTCAGTAAAGGTCTGATCCCCGTTACTTAGTGACGTCTGTATAAACCAGTCAGTAAAGGACTGATCCCCGTTACCTAGTGACGCCTGTACATACCAGTCAGTAAAGGTCTGATCCCCGTTACCTAGTGACGCCTGTATATACCAGTCAGTAAAGGTCTGATCCCCGTTACTTAGTGACGCTTGTATATACCAGTCAGTAAAGGTCTGATCCCCGTTACCTAGTGACGCCTGTATATACCAGTCAGTAAAGGTCTGATCCTCGTTGCATAGTGACACCTGTATATACCAGTCAGTATAGGTCTGATCCCCGTTACTTAGTGACGCCTGTATATACCAGTCAGTAAAAGTCTGATCCCCGTTACCTAGTGACGCCTATATATGGTCTGATCCCCGTTACCTAGTGACGCCTATATATGGTCTGATCCCCGTTACCTAGTGACGCCTATATATGGTCTGATCCCCGTTACTTAGTGACGCCTGTATTTGGGGCATGTTCTCTTTTCGCCTACATCCCAATTCGCCTACAGTCTTAAAACAACATTTCATGGTCTGTTGACTGTTGATTACGCAATGGTAAACTAGTGTCCCCCCTATGATCTAAAGGTGGACTCTTCAAGTTGAAGTAGTTAAAGGACAAAAAGACATTTTTAAAGAATTTATTCTGTTATTTGTCTGTTATTTATTTACACTGTTAATTGTCCATTTTCCGATCACAATGGTTTTCACATCATATAACATCATATTACATATGCTTAGTGTTAAGGAAGTTTACTTGTGCGGATGTCCATTCTCACTTCATCACGAACACATTGTCTCGGTCTGGTGAGGTCTCTTCTTCATTCATCAGAGGAGGGTGCTTGTGCTCTGTGACGGATTTTTGTTTTTAATATTCATTATCCTTTTATGCTTACTTTTTCCAAATGTGTGTCGTTAAAAAGTAATTCAGACATGAGTAAGGATAATTTGGAAGATTTACCTAATTAGTATGGCACTGACCAGTGAGTCAGGTTCATTATAAGAGTAGGGGTGCATTTTCTAATCCCAATTAGCCTACATTGCTTTGGTATGCGAAATGGGATGTAGGCGAAATGAGATGTAGGCGAATGGAGACTAAACCTTATATGGTCTGATCCCCGTTACTTAGTGACGAAAGTTGACGAATTTCGTTTGAAAAAGAGCACTGCCAGTCATTACATGGTGTGCGACGTTGCGGAATGCCTACATTGTGTGTCGTTGTTGTTGCAGCACTCTCACGGGAACTCGTCTGTTGAGCTCGGGGGGTTGGACGGTTCCGGATACGTCGTGAGTGACAAGCTGATGTTGATAGGATGTCTAACATGGAAATAACAGTAACTAAATTATCGACGGATGAGTGAGCTAGAATAGTTAAATAGTTGGGTAGAACTGGAAGATATGACGCTGAAACTAAACCTTCCAAGGAAGCGGACATAAAGTAGTCCCAACGTTAAAACCTCGCCTCACCTACCATCCATGTTTTGGTCGCTAGGGCAGAGCATGTGAAGACAAACCTTCTGCTCGAATGTCATATTTGGTATACCGAGGGTACATTGTGTACAGATGTAACATTTCATTTCAGACAAAACAGTCTGGTGGCTTGGTCATGGAAGAGAAGGAGAAAAAGTCGGGTGGGTAGACGTAACCAGACAAGATGCCACTGGTCATCACGTTTCGTATTGATTTATGCGACTTGAATATCAGGAATGAGCAACAACAATGCAACCAACTTACTTACAGTTATTAGTACACAGTGCCACACTGTTATTGTTTGGAAAATTAAGACTTGGCCTGACATTTAAGGTTATTTGATGAAAGATCTGATATTGCTTCCTGCAATACTGGTACACTGTCACGTACTGCACAGTGTGAAACTTTCCAATGTAAGCTTTTCTATATCACTAACGGCAGCCTACTGGTCAAGTCGGTTGTCACAGCTGAAATTCGGTTTCACGCTCCAAATGGGAACAAGATTTGAATATCATTTCTGCTGTCCTGCGTGATATTGCTTGTGCTCTACTAAACACCCTCTTCCCCAACTCCCACCTTCCCCACCCCCACCCCAACGCTGTCCAGTGAAATGAAGGTAGTAATACACCGTGACAAAAGCTAACGACACTCCCGTGTTTTGAAGATGCCTCCTTTCACGTTTCTACAGAATTCTCGACACTTGCCTTTATGGTGATAGTGGGGGACGCAATTCACAACTTCGCCGACGGTCTGGCTGTAGGTGCCGCCTTCAGCCTGAGCGTCACTAGCGGCATCACCACGAGCATCGCCGTGTTCTGCCACGAACTGCCGCACGAGCTGGGTTAGTACCACGATTTCTACAGCAGTGACACATCACGATAGCAGTATCCTCATCAGGTGTTTGCTCTGAATGCTGAAATATACTACTCACAATTTGCTAAGGATCACAAAATTTCGCACCTTTACTTAAATTTACCAAATTTGACCCCACATCATAGTTTTCTGATGAATCAATGATTTGATCCTTATCAAAGTGTAAATAGTATAGCTGATACAGGGAACAGAGAGAAAGCCAAATGATGAAAATATGTGCTTTGTTTAGTTTTGCTGGAAGGGTTAGTTCCATTCCTAGTCAAGCACCGGTAGTAATGGGAATCAAGAGCTGACTAACAGACATAACCAACACCGATACGAATATTGAACGTCTCTCCTGCTTGGCGCGCTTGACTTGGTGTAACCCTGCTTAGTGTCAGAGTTATAATGTTGGCATCATTCTGTCGTAGGCGACTTCGCGGTGCTGATGACGAGCGGGATGTCGTTCACGAGGGCGCTGTGTTGGAACTTCGTGTCTGCCCTGACGGCGTTTATAGGACTCTACATTGGACTCTCAATCTCCACAGACCCGTTGGTCCGACGGTGGATATTTGCCGTCACTGCGGGGATGTTCATCTACATCGCCCTAGTCGACCTGGTAAGTAACTACTTATTGTTTACTACGATGTTCGAACTTCCCGTGTAGTGGATATGAGGCCCAGTGGCTGGTCATGGTATCATATTGAGGGGGCGGTAAGAACTGCGGCTTTGGGCTTTCTGAAGCTGCGTTAAACCCACCTCACTTACTCCATCATTCGTTCCCAAAACGTTAAAATATGGTACTTGTTGTTCCCTGCCTGGCACTCGGCATTAATGGGTACAACAATGCCTGGTCGGCTCGGAGTCAGTATAATGAGTGGGGTATTCATGCTTAACTGCGGCATGGTATCTCAGTGGGCTAGCACTATAAAACCAGCTTAGGTCTGGGCTAGTACAAGCAGCCGCACATACACATACACGTCCACGTCCTCATTTGAGCGAAATATTCTGAAGTACGACGTTAAACCCCATTTAACCACATCCTCACTCACTCACTCAAATGTCAGTTCATGTTACCATCTCAACATAACACCTGACCCACTGTATGATATATACTTTATATACTCATGCCAAAAATGGTTGTCATCCCCTCCCCATCCCAACCCCACACACACCTCACACCCCCATCCCACTACCCCTCTCCAATTAAAAAAATTGAAGGGGGTGACGATCATTGTTGGCATGAGTATATATACTTTGATGTGTCCGCCAGGTAGAGGTGACAGAAATGTGGACTATTTAGGAGGTGTTTTTTGCGCTAAGTTACACAATTAAATAAAGATCTGTTAGAACACAGCAGGTTTGTCTCCCATGTCATTTTCACCACCCTGCCAGACCTTGCAAAGTCTCACCTGTGAAACTGTACGTGTGTGGAACACCGCTGGATGTATACATAGAAGCTGTAGGTTAGGGGAGGTTTGGTTTGGATGTCTGACTGGGGTTTGACTACAGCATTTACACAACTTTGATCTGTGATATCTGTGTTATCGTTATTATCTATATGTGGTAGTTAATATATTCATGACTAATATCGTGTATTAATTAACAGTTGCCGTCTCTTATCAACACCGTCACCACACACCGGAAGTTGTTGTTTGTCATGCACAACATTGGGATACTGACTGGTTTCCTCGTCATGCTGCTCATCGCCATGTATGAAGAGAAGATCACTGTCTGAGGTGAGAAGGATATCAGTTTCAAAACGCCACAGCCATTACATACTACTACTACTACTACTACTACTACTACTACTACTACTACTACTACTACTACTGCTGCTGCTGCTGCTGCCACTACTACTACTACTACTTCTTCTGCTACTACTACGTATACATACGTATACATACTCACCAACACCAAATTGATATGGGAGTTTGTCAAGGGGTTTTGTTCGTGACGTGGTACCCGGCAAAACAGATCTTGGCTCACATATCAAACAATGGGTTTTTTCAGGTCCGATACCTGATGCGTTAAGCAACATGCATGCACAAAAACACAAACACACGACGTTCAAACACACCGACGCATACACATACAAACACACAAGCACATACAGATACATACAGAGACACAATAACATGCTTTTTTCAGGCCCAAACAGCCTTCTCATACCTGAGGCGTTAAACAACACCCAGACACACGGACACACGGACACGTACAGACACACCAAGACATCCAGACAAATACAGACACAGTACTACACAGAGTTCCACGACGACTTCGCGTACCAAATCGAAGATGCCTCGTGCTCAGGAAGTGTTGTACGGGCGCTTCACAGACGTTGCTGTGTTTCTTGGTTCCCATGTGTTCAGTTCATGCGTACCGGGAAACCTTTCGTCTTACATAGTGCTATCGTCGTAATGCTGATAGCAACAGTAACGATACAACATTGTCCCTCCTTGACATACACGTCCATGTTTGTCTGTGATGTGTTAAATGAAGGAATCGTTTTGAAGAACTTAAAGCAAACGCAAATAACTTTGACCTGTTTTATCACATTTTAATATATTGCCTCAGCCTGTATGCAAATAATGGGCTGGATGGGATCTTTAGAAACAGATAGTAATTGTAGATCCGAATATAAGTTCATTGATATATCAGTAGGTTGGAATATCAGTAACGTGATATATCAGATGTTATTCGTTGTTAGTTGTTACAAATATTAGTGAAACTTTATTTTACAACTTCGTGAAATAATATATATAGTCGGTAGTGTCTTATTGTATTTGACATACTTCATTTTCGCGCTTGACGTTATTTCTTTTGTTACAGAGATTGGATCTGGAGTGTTGATGTTGTGTCATGTTGTGCTGCCCTCGCACTATACTAGTATTCACCGACTTGAGACTGCAGCGAGGGGAGACAACTCCCGGTGAACAACGTCACTGTGTTTTAGAGAACCATTGCCATCAGCAATTCTAAAGGTCTACTGGCTGTCCTAGAAAATGGTTTAACCTGTCATATTAAACAGAAATGGCGCTTTCTGATTGCTGGAAAAGGACATTATATACTGGAACAAAAAAGATACGAATCAGGAAAGTTTTTGTTTGGTCTCTCTTATGAAATTCTGCGTTCAGTCTTCTCCACATAAATATATCCAAACAACGATGTCACGATTCACGACATTTTTTGTTTAGTTTTAGACCTAGTTTTGGGATCACCATGATAGCATGGCTAACACCGGAACATACACAACTCACCTGCTACTGTTTGATTTCCTAACGTTAGTTACTGTTCCACGGTTGTATGTACATATATATTATTGCTGCAATATAGCTGGACCTTTCTGCCACATATATCTCTTGTACATGATGTACTGACAAATGTCTTCCTGTTGTCCCGAATGCATAATACATTACGTCATGCATACACCAAAGTGCTAGGATTCTACGTTGTCCATCGTTATCCAGTCTTTGATCCGACCAAACCACAAACACCGGTGTGTTTAGAGTAGCGGACTATCGTAAAGAAGTCTCCATACACTTCCTATTTACATAACCGCATCGTGTGATAATGACTGCTGGACACCACCTTGAGGTGTTTTAATGTGTATATATGATATATAACCATAACTAATTAATGATGCAAATTGCTGTTTTATGTGTTTACTCTTTGTGTATATTTTGAACTATTTTTTCTCAATAAACAAGTTTTTAGTCAAAAAGACCAATGCGTTAAATTTTATGAAAAGGGGAGGTAACTCAGTTGAGTGGCAGATCCTGACAAGAGCTGTGTTTTCTGAATTATGCTTTCAGAAGGAGAGTTGCATAACACGAATATGAAGATTAAAAGGACTGGACTGATAGTTCCACTTGTTTGTGACGCTCGATAACTTCAGATAGGCGATGTCAGTTGTCCATGACACCGATAACAGTTGTACCCAATACGTTTGTGCCTGGACATAACAGTGTACAAACGTTCACTCTGTTCACTCCCAGACGGACAATCACCTCCGAGGGGATGTTTCTATTTCCACACACAACCCCCCTGATGCGTAGACACAACATACACGCATCTCAACAGTCGCTGACACACTTTGTATTTGGCCGGGAGACTTTACAGATGAATGCATGGTCTATTGCACGACTCCCCAACAAGGGTAGGAGAGAGGGAGTATCACAGTATTGCAAGCATGTCTAGATGAAGAAGGGTCGGAGAGAGGGAGTATCGCAGTATTGCAAGCATGTCTAGATGAAGAAGGGTCGGGGCATCATTAGTAAACAAACGGGCGCAGCTACAATAATAGTGGATTCCTGGGAGTACTTCCGACGTATATTTCTCACCAACATAGCCCACACATTGCTGATACTAATTACTGACCATGCTGATCATCCTGGACCTATTCTGATATACAGTATAACATAACAGATGTAAATGTGAGCTGGGTAAATTGTTGATACAAGATCTATGTAATGCGGAAGATTAAATCTGAAGTATTCTGGTACTTAAAGCCATATGCGCATTCACATTAGGTTCCCGTATCATCACACTTATCGCAATCATGCACTTCCGTGTTCATGTCAGGAACAGTATGTACAAGGTGTCACTTGGTTCACCCAGCAGAAAATGGGTACACGGTGGGATAAGTCATGTGACTTTAACCTTTTAGCGCCTAACTGGCAACATGGGTTATCCAGGTTAAGAATGTGCTGTGCTATTCACTGTTAGCGCAATGAGTATACCTGGTGTGGAGTTTGGCGATATATAAATGGACACATTATTTCATATTAGCAACGCCCACTCATGTCAGTGCACTCAAGCCTACTGAAGGTTGAAGGGCTCTACAAACTAACCATTTAGATACTGTCCAAAGACCCTCAACTCTACGTGAGTACTAAATAAATAACTCACAGGTCCCCGTTGGATGACGTTCATGTGACGTTAACGTGCAGTGGGCATGAGACACGCCGTGTCATTCTAAACACATAATGAAGACTCCAATTTATTATATACTTTACAATTATTTGTTCGTGTATAATTCTCATGTTCTGATAATATATCAGTTAATATATCAGTTAATATATCAGTTCAAATGCAGTGGTTTTCGGTAATCGTTCAATACAGCCACTTATCAAGACATATAGTTTACTCGTGGAATAAGGTGTTCACGTCGGCGAAATTATAAGTGTCCATGGAAATAGGTTTTGTTTAAATGTCAATTTGTAAAAAGTTGCGTAGCCACGTAATCAAATTCATATGACCGGCATGAAAGAAGTCAGATTTGTAAAGGTGCTTAGTTTGCTTGACCTTTGTAAGGGGCGTATCTACACCCTGGGTGAGACCCTGCAATGTACGGACCATCCTACACCCTGGGTGAGACTCAGCGACCATCCTCCCAGAAAAAGTGTTTGGATCCTCATTTGAGGCGTATCTACACCCTGGGTGAGACTCGGCGATGTACACCTCGACCCTGTTTTTCAGACCTTCACCGGGGGCGTATATACACCCGGGATGACTCCCGACAATGCATGGTCCAATGTCTCCGCCAGTGGTTTGATCAGCAGACGCACACTGCTGAGTGATAGAGACAAATCATTGACAAACAAAATGCTCAAGAGAAACATGACAAATACGATGGATAGATAACAATATATGGATGAACAACATCTTTATTAGAGTGAGAGCGACGTTTCGGTGTAGGTCCTAACACGGTTATCAAGCAAGTGATGAACAGAATGAGGAATGAGAGACATGAGAGACATATCATTTATACAAGTGTGAGGAGATGCTTGTACAGTACAATGGGGATTAGAACAAACATCTTCGCACACTTGTATATATACTGGGGGAAACAAATGAAAGTACAAGTGTTCCTTAATATTTGTCCAGGTTTCTTCACCAGCTTTGTATACCGTGGGTGAACAATCTGAGAACAAATAAAGGAACACTGCTATGAAGTGGTATTCCCTTATTTGTTTCCCTCAGTATATGTCTCTCATTCCCCATTCTGTTCATATCTGTTGATAACCGTGTTAGAACCTACACCGAAACATCGTCGCTCTCACTGAAATAAAGACTGGGAAGCTGTTCACCCATATGTTGTTATCCTTCTTTACTGCTCCAACTTCTAAATAACAAAACAAAACTAAACAACAACAACACACTAACAAACAAACATAAAGGAACAGAGAATAAATAAGAATAATTCTTTATAATTAATGTACCCGACAGATCGGTAGCCGATAATTGAAATTACACGACGAATAAGATGCAATGTACTATTGGAGGGGAAACATATATGATATAAACTCGCCATTTAGCTGCAATATTGCTGAGTGCGGCGTTAAACAACAACCAACTCAACATGAATAACGTTTGTTTTACGCCGACAATGAACGTGCAATCAAGGTTTCAAGGTTCGGAGGCTGGCATAGACGTTGACGTCATACCAGCATTATTTCGGGCTTGTCTCCCACGCCAAAGTGACGTCACAGACCTGGGATACAGCTGAAAGTGGGGGTAAACATAAGTCTCTCTGGATGATGTATCTGGAAATCCCGAGTCAGAAGGAGCTCGAGTCATGTCACGATATTTATTCTAAACATATGCATTCTAATTTGAATATGTCATATTTCCGAGGCGCTAAATGTCCTTCAACCCAGTTGACAGGGACACTCGCTAATTAAACCACAAAAACACGTGGCGTGACTTACCTTGAAACGGAACTGGTGGTTTTCGACTGCAAACTCATATTGATTCTGAAAACTCCAGGCACTTTGATGTGATGTTCAATCGATGTCGACCCAGTACTAAATACCGGCTGGCTGGCTATCCAGGGTGTTATATACTATGTCACGTGTATCAAATTGCTTCGTGAGCGTAATTGCAAAACACTCACACAGTGCACAGCGCAGTTGAACTATTCAGGACATTTTCATATTTCCCAGCACATTATTTTATTGAAGATATATTACATTTTGTAAGAAATAAGCTGTTTATTGCACTGAGTAAAATTGGTCTTTGTTGCATAATGAATAACTATAATTATAGACATAGAACGGCCGAGAAGCTACCAATGTAAACAGCCATGACCCAGACAGGCGGGGCGTGTTTACCGGAGTTGGCAATCGATGTCAGCTATATTTATACATCGCTTCATTCAGTCTCGTTATAGAAACACATCCGCTATAACGCGGATAGAAGCTCAAGTGATCTTTTGGTGTAAAGAGAACAATTTTCGATAAAAGAATTACTGTGAAGAGTTTCAGTGACCCAAACTAACTGACAAATATTCAGCTTCTAAACTTCTGGAATACCATACCCTTTTATCAGTATTATTTCCATCTATATCCGAGTGTTTGATGGTGTACTGTGTGGAAGGCTGGGTGAATGTCCGGCACTAGGCATACGTTCACTAGACTAACGCTTAGTCTCTGAATATATCGAATGGTGATTGAAACAAATAAACTCATTTAAATTGAAAAGGAGACCCAGGGAGACCAGTGATTCAGAACCTGGAAAAATCTAGACTTGCTTCATTTAGGGCTTTAACAGGGCTAGGCAGTAGGGAAAATAATGTTATTCAGAGACTGTGAGGCATACTACAATGCAGGGAGGGCTAGGCTGTAGGGAAAATAATGTGGTTCAGAGACTGTGAGACAGACTAATACGTTCACATGTTCAACTCCTATAAAACCATGACCGATCTTTAACACCCCATGCATGTGGTTAGGGTGACAAACAGGATCGAGAGGTCAGGGTCGTTCACTTTGTTTCCCAATTTTAGATCAATGCTCATAATGTAAATCTCTGGCTTATTTGGCCCAGACCCGACTACTTGCAGATCGGCAAAATATTCCTATTGGATAGAACGGCGTTAAACAACCAAGAAAAACGGTAAACTTACCTTCCTTATAACTTTATAACGCCTAACAACAGTAACTGAAACGCCCGTAAAATATTCACCAAACGTTTTTACAACCAACAAGAAATGAAGGTTGTACATGTCTGAAAAAAGAAATCAGTGTATTTAGTTTAGGTTTTAAATCGGTGTTATACAAGTACCAATCAACCAGAATATACATACTTTCTCAAACGTTGAAATGTTGAATATGACAATTCGCTATGTTGATTTTATACACTTATGCCAAAATTGGTGCCCCGAGTACAGTTCGTTTGATTTCATTTAAGAATATGGCTCACTAACACGAAATCTAATAATTGCTACAAAACCAAATTTTGCAAAGTCACATGAAATCGACTGACTAACTCTGATGATTTGTCTCATAATATTGGACACCCGAATACAAAAGTTGTTTAACAAACGATCGTTATTTTGTTGTAACTTTTCGCTACTTTGTACGAGGGTGTGCGAGTTGCATGTATGAAATTGAAATTTCACTACACAGGCATGTTGATTCCTGACTGTTCTAATGAATTCAAACGGACTGTATTTCACGTGAAAGTGGTGCCCTGTGCGAACCAACGCCATCTACAAAAATGAAATGTAACTGACACAACCGTTAATAATGATGTCTTGATCTTGAGCAGCTATCAGAATTATCTGTGTGTACATTGATGGAGTGAAAGGAGTAAAACTTTACACTAGTGAGTAGATGGTCTGTTACAGTCTGTGGTGTGTCACTGAACAGCACGTGATATGTCTGTGTGTACATTGATGGAGTGAAAGGAGTAAAACTTTACACTAGTGAGTAGATGGTCTGTTACAGTCTGTGGTGTGTCACTGAACAGCACGTGATATGTCTGTGTGTACATTGATGGAGTAAAACTTTACACTAGTGAGTAGATGGTCTGTTACAGTCTGTGGTGTGTCACTGAACAGCACGTGATATGGAGTCTGTGTCTGTGGTGTGTCACTTGTTATGTCTGAGTGTACATTGATGGAGTAAAACTTTACACTAATGAGTAGATGGTCTGTTACAGTCTGTGGTGTGTCACTGAACACCAGGCAGTCTAAAAAAACACATGTCTTAACATGAAATACCATCCTGATACAATCAAAGAGGATTGTTGCCATGTGTGTCCCAGGCAGTCTAATCTACCACCATACATTGTTGTGTCCCATGTGTCCTACCACCATACGCCATGTGTCCCAGGCAGTCTAAACTACCACCATACATTGTTGCCATGTGTCCCAGGCAGTCTAAACTACCACCATACATTGTTGCCATGTGTCCCAGGCAGTCTAAACTACCACCATACATTGTTGCCATGTGTCCCAGGCAGTCTAAACTACCACCATACATTGTTGCCATGTGTCCCAGGCAGTCTAAACTACCACCATACATTGTTGCCATGTGTCCCAGGCAGTCTAAACTACCACCATACATTGTTGCCATGTGTCCCAGGCAGTCTAAACTACCACCATACATTGTTGCCATGTGTCCCAGGCAGTCTAAACTACCACCATACGTTGTTGCCATGTGTCCCAGGCAGTCTAAACTACCACCATACATTGTTGCCATGTGTCCCAGGCAGTCTAAACTACCACCATACATTGTTGCCATGTGTCCCAGGCAGTCTAAACTACCACCATACGTTGTTGCCATGTGTCCCAGGCAGTCTAAACTACCACCATACGTTGTTGTCCCAGGCAGTCTAAACTATTGTGTCCCAGGCAGTCTAAACTACCACCATACGTTGTTGCCATGTGTCCCAGGCAGTCTAAACTACCACCACCATTGTTGCCATTGTTGGCAGTCTATACCACCATACATTGTTGCCCAGTGCAGTCTCTAAACTACCACCATACGTTGTTGCCATGTGTCCCAGGCAGTCTAAACTACCACCATACGTTGAATGTGTCTACTACCACCATACATTGTTGCCATGTGTCCCAGGCAGTCTAAACTACCACCATACGTTGTTGCCATGTGTCCCAGGCAGTCTTAAACTACCACCATACAGTTGTTGCCATGTGTCCCAGGCAGTCTAAACTACCACCATACATTGTTGCCATGTGTCCCAGGCAGTCTAAACTACCACCATACATTGTTGCCATGTGTCCCAGGCAGGCAGTCTTATCTACCACCACCATACATTGTTGCCATGTGTCCCCACCAGGCAGTCTCTATCTACCACCATACATTGTTGCCATGTGTCCCAGGCAGTCTTATCTACCACCATACATTGTTGCCATGTGTCCCAGGCAGTCTTATCTACCACCATACATTGATGCCATGTGTCCCAGGCAGTCTAAACTACCACCACACATTGATGCCATGTGTCCCAGGCAGTCTTATCTACCACCATACATTGTTGCCATGTGTCCCAGGCAGTCTTATCTACCACCATGTGTCCATTATCATTTGTTGCCATGTGTCCCAGGCAGTCTTATCTACCACCATACATTGTTGCCATGTGTCCCAGGCAGTCTTATCTACCACCATACATTGTTGCCATGTGTCCCAGGCAGTCTAAACTACCACCATACATTGTTGCCATGTGTCCCAGGCAGTCTTATCTACCACCATACATTGTTGCCATGTGTCCCTGGCAGTCTTATCTACCACCATACATTGTTGCCATGTGTCCCAGGCAGTCTTATCTACCACCATACATTGTTGCCATGTGTCCCAGGCAGTCTTATCTACCACCATACATTGTTGCCATGTGTCCCAGGCAGTCTAAACTACCACCATACATTGTTGCCATGTGTCCCAGGCAGTCTTATCTACCACCATACATTGTTGCCATGTGTCCCAGGCAGTCTTAAACTACCACCATACATTGTTGCCATGTGTCCCAGGCAGTCTACCACCATACATTGTTGCTACCACCAAACTACATTTGTTGCCATGTGTCCCAGGCAGTCTTATCTACCACCATACATTGTTGCCATGTGTCCCAGGCAGTCTTATCTACCACCATACATTGTTGCCATGTGTCCCAGGCAGTCTTATCTACCACCATACATTGTTGCCATGTGTCCCAGGCAGTCTAAACTACCACCATACATTGATGCCATGTGTCCCAGGCAGTCTAATCTACCACCATACATTGATGCCATGTGTCCCAGGCAGTCTAAACTACCACCACACATTGTTGCCATGTGTCCCAGGCAGTCTAAACTACCACCATACATTGTTGCCATGTGTCCCAGGCAGTCTAAACTACCACCATACATTGATGCCATGTGTCCCAGGCAGTCTTATCTACCACCATACATTGTTGCCATGTGTCCCAGGCAGTCTTATCTACCACCACACATTGTTGCCATGTGTCCCAGGCAGTCTTATCTACCACCACACATTGATGCCATGTGTCCCAGGCAGTCTAAACTACCACCATACATTGTTGCCATGTGTCCCAGGCAGTCTTATCTACCACCATACATTGTTGCCATGTGTCCCAGGCAGTCTAAACTACCACCACACATTGTTGCCATGTGTCCCAGGCAGTCTTATCTACCACCACACATTGACGTCATGTGTCCCAGGCAGTCTAAACTACCACCATACATTGATGCCATGTGTCCCAGGCAGTCTAAACTACCACCACACATTGATGCCATGTGTCCCAGGCAGTCTAAACTACCACCATACATTGATGCCATTGTCTGCCATGTGTGCCATGTGTCAGTCTAACTCGACCACCACACATTGATGCCATGTGTCCCAGGCAGTCTAAACTACCACCACACTTTGATGCCATGTTTCCACAGTCTACACTTCAGACCACGATGCCATGTGTCCCAGGCAGTCTTGATGTCAACTTCTGTAATATGAAGGACGTCTCAGAGCATAGTGCTATTCGTCACATTCATACTGCTATATGGTAACTGTCACATTCATACTGCTATATGGTGACTGTCACATTCATACTGCTATATGGTGACCGTCACATTCATACTGCTATATGGTGACTGTCACATTCATACTGCTATATGGTGACCGTCACATTCATACTGCTATATGGTGACTGTCACATTCATACTGCTATATGGTGACTGTCACATTCATACTGCTATATGGTGACCGTCACATTCATA